GTCATGCATATGCTTAAGGTTACTTATCAATTTTTTGCAGATGGCCACCTCCCCTCTTGTTTGACCTCCTTTGTTTGTCCAGTGAAAAGCGTCCAATGACAGCACTTAGCTCATTCATCACTTAACACTTCACTCCTCATTGACCGTTGCACCATTTTAGTTTGCACTCTATGAAAATTGTTTGTTTCACTATAACTGGTTTGCACATTTTAAAAATTGTTGTTGGTTTTAATCTTTAAACTTTTAAGTTTTAAGAGCTCTCGCTCTCGCGTGGTGCCTTCTCAAGTGCTGGAACCTGACTGACTTATTTATACCTACATGGTAAAAAAATTGAAACCGTATGGACCGAAAAGTGGTCCGAACCGGACAGAAATATTTTTTTTGGAACCGTAACTGAACCCGAACCGAAATTTGTCTTTCCTCTCGAAACCGGAACCGGACAGGAACCGTTATTTCATTTGGGTACGGGTCCCTGTTTTAAATATAGTAAAAACAAAAAAACGAAATGTAACAAACACAAAAACGGCAATGAAAACTTAAACGATATAAAGTAACACAAACAACAAACAAAATAAACAAAATTAGGTTCCAGTACACAATAGCACACTCTTAAATTCCAATTTTTATTGGAAATTTTCGACACAAATGGATATAAAACCACATTTTAAGCATATTTAGGTGCGGAAAAACCAAACTTTCACTAAAATATATGTTTATAGTGTTAAATTCAACAAATCTTGCTTAAAACTGTCACCTTTTCTATGTACAGCACTGAATTTTATGCCTGGTTTATGCAGACTTAAAACTTAAGACTTAAGACTTAACATTTAACAATTAAGAAGTTAAAAGTTAGGTTATTTCATTGATTTCCTTTAAGGTCGTTTATGCACCATTTAAGACTTAAGACTTAAGACTTAACATTTAAGAACTAAGAAAAATGACCTTGAAAGATAATAAACTTTTATCTTTCTTAAGTCTTAATTTTTAATTCTTACATGAAATCGCATTTGCGCAAGCGTTAACTAGGGAATTTTAAATTAAACTGTTTCTTTTTCTATGGTTGTTGTAACTGAAAATTTAAAAATTCGTGTTTCATGTTTTTCTTGAAATTACTGTGCTAAAATGATAGATAATTTGGATCCATTTTAGATTAAACTAGTAAACACAGATTATAAAAAACGTTGATAAACAAATATATACGCATTCGCAAAACACAACGATAAAATTTTAATGTTAATTGGCATTTTAATGTTGGTTGTACCAACTTGATACCACGTGATATTTTTATCGATTTTGATTGGTTACTCCTTAAGTTTTAAGTCTTAAGATAAATGCTGCATGAACGCCACAATTTTCGCTTAATTTTTAATTCTTAAGTCTTAAATGTTAAGTTTTAAGTCTTAAGTCTGCATAAACCCACCATTAAACTGTCACAATTTAAAATGACAGAATTAGTGTTTTAAGGTTGGTTATCATGTATTTCAATGTTGCCAAGTTTAAAATTAGCAAAAGTATTACATTATTTTGTAATGGAAAATGTGTATTATATCAAAGTAAATTTCGAAATATGCTAAACATTAAAGGAAATATTGAAATTACGGAAGAATGGGCAAAATTTTTAGGTAAATATAGGAATAATAATATATTATCTAATTAACGCTACCTTAGGCAACCCAGATAACAACATATTTTAATTCATTATATTACCATTTAATTAAATACTTTAAATAATTATAATTTAAATAATTATACCTGTAATTATTAAATTAAATTATTTATATTAGGTATTGGATTAATTTTTGCACTTAATTTAATATTATAATTTGAAAATTTTGTTTTTAAACAAAATTTGTTATTATTGCAGTTGTCATTTAATTCATATAGGGACCTATTAAGTAATGTCAATGTATTGTGCTGTTTGCTTATTTTAAAATAAATATTCAAAACATTAATAATGTTTATGAGCTTACATCTAAGTCAGATGGAGGGTTAATAACTGCATTACATCAGGCTGGACTTGTAAAAGCCCAGTTACGCTGTAAGGTGAGGAACTGTAGGAGAATTTGCATTTTAAGACCCAGAGCTGGAGTATATGTCCTGGACCACGCCTTTTTTGTATAAGATGCAAAAAGGATTACCTACAGTGTCCTCACGGGTAATCCACATTAAGTGGTATTGGGCTTGCGAGGTCAGGACTGGCCCTGTCGCCCAAATTATGGGTACTCGTCGTGGGCGGATTGCTCAAACCTATCTCTGTGGGTAAAAGGCATAAGGGGATAAGTCAAAACAATCAATTTTTTAGTAGTGCCTTAAACTTGTTCGCATTAATTTAGGAAATACATTTATGGTTAGCGGGTATATCCTTTTGCCAGCACATGTCATATGCTAGCAAAAGGGTATACTCGCTAACCATAAATATATTTCCTGAATTAATGCGAACACGTTTAATTCTCTACCGAAAAAATGCTTTTTTTGATGGATACCTTATGCTTTTTACCCACAGATCTGTTGTCCGAGTCACACTATCAGAATCGACCAATAAGAACGAGTTATCACGCGTCTGGGAGTTTTTGTTTGACCAAGCCTTGGCGCTGACCAAGCCCGCCTCGCTTCGCTCGGCTATTAAATTTAATTACGTTTACAAAGAGCCTAGGCGGGCTTGGTCAATGCCTGAGCCCAATTTCGCGCGCCCAAAATTGGCCTCAGGCACTGACCAAGCCCGCCTCGTTTCACTCGGCATTTATTTAATTTAATTACGTTTACAAAGCGCCTAGGCGAAGGCCAAGCCCGCCTCGCTTCGCTCGTCAATTATATAATTTAATTACGTTTACAAAGAGCCTAGGCGGGCTTGGTCAGTGCCTGAGCCCAATTTCGCGCCCGCAAAATTGGGCTCTGGCACTGATCAAGCCCGCCTCGCTTCGATCGGCATTTATTTAATTTGATTACGATTGCAAGGGCCTAGGCGGGCTTGGTCAGTGCTTGGCACTGACCAAGCTCGCCTCGCATCGCCCGGCATTTCTCTTCGTAAACGTAATTAAATTAAATAAATGCCGAGCGAAGCGAGTAGGGCTTGGTCAGTGCCTGAGCCCAATTTCGCGCGCGCAAAATTGGGCTCAGGCACTGACGAATCCCTACTCGCTTCGCTCGGCATTTATAATAAATGATTTATTAAATTTAATTACGTTTACAAAGAGCCTAGGCGGGCTTGGTCAGTGCCTGAGCCCAATTTTGCGCGCGCGAAATTGGGCTCAGGCACTGACCAAGCCCGCCTCGCTTCGCTCGGCTTTTATTTAATTTAATTACGTTTACAAACAGCCTAGGCGGGCTTGGTCAGTGCCTGAGCCCAATTTTGCGCGCGCGAAATTGGGCTCAGGCACTGACCAAGCCCGCCTCGCTTCGCTCGGCATTTATTTAATTTAATTACGTTTACAAAGAGCCTAGGCGGGCTTGGTCAGTTCCTTAGCGCAATTATGCGCGCGCCAAATCAGACTCAGGCACTAAACAAGTCCGCCTCGCTTCGCTCGGCATTTATTTAATATGATTACGTGTGCAGGTACTTTGTAAATACTGATTGACTTTACAAGTTGCCTAGGCGCATTTCATATGAGTTTTTGATATTTAATTGATTTTATTTTTAATAACAAATATCTTAGTAACAACAACTCACATGAAAAACTTTATTTGGCTTTTTGGTGTATCCTTACAAGCTCTTCATATTAGACCTTAAAAAAAATTTAACATTTTTTAATTTTGCAAAATCTACAATTGTATTTTTTTTGCTGTATAACAAAATAAGAGTTTCTCATCGAGAAGAAATTATAAAGAGTGACTTTTCCTCGAAAAATTGAAAATAAATATTTTTACAAGTATAATTAAGTCCATCCATAGACACACTGTATATAAATATATATATTATATATAAGTCATTTAGAATTAAAACGGCCATTTCAATCACGCAGACGGCACAAATCACAAAACTTTTATAAAAAAAATTGAAGGTAATTTATTAATGTATATTATTTTGGCATCAAAATTGTCAAAAAAAATTATTTTTAATAAGGCTATAGTATAGCCGCTATACATTAAATAAAATAAATGCAAGAAATATTTTATAAAACGAGATAATTTTTTTACATGGAACAAAAAATATTTCATGTTAAAGTTCTTTAAAAAAATAAAAGGTATAAAATGTATGTATGTATGTAATTAGGAATAATTTCATGTAATCTGGGTTGCATAATAAATTTCCCCAAACAGCGTAAAAATTTGACATCTGGCGACATTGCGATTAATTTCTTTGAATCTGACATTTCTTGACAGTTCTTGTCAAAAAATCTGTCAAAAAAAGCATTTTCAAACTTAATTTTCTCAAAAACTAGTGAAAAACCCGCAATTTTTATTTATGAAATTTACTATTTAAAACGTCCTTTTTCAAATGGTCAAATTTTTTTTTGGAAATTCAGAGTGTGCTATAGTGTTCTGGACCCCAAAATTATACACGAATTAAACGAAATATTCAAAAACCCAACTGACAGCTTCAAAATTCTAAAACGCCAATTTCTTTTTCTATGCGTCATTTTATTATGCAAAATTTTAATCTAAACATGACAACATTGCAATTGCTGCCAACTAAAGTTGTTTAATATGCATTAAAATATTCAATTACAGACTTCGTTTTATACATTTAGTATTGGTACCAGTGCGCAAAATTATGACGTCATCGATGACATGTACGTCGTTTCCTTTTAAATTTATATTTATATTTGACGCTGCTTGAGGCGGGAGAATTGGAGCTTGGGCTTGCTCTAATTGGTGGTTTTATATCACATGACTGAAGATGTGGTGGGTGGCAGTTTGTGTTGCAGTTTGTGTAGTTAAATTATTTAAAATTGTTTTCTGATCTTTTATAGTTTTTGTCTTGATTAGTCGTAATTAAATAATTTTATTACATGTATTATGTGTAATATGGGAAACAAATTAAAAATTAAAGCATACAAAAAGAGGTATTTTTTTATTCAAGACTTTTACAAAAAATAGAGATCATCACACATCCACAATACTTCTAGGTTTACTGTACATAACACCATGCTCCTTTAACACGTCATCAATAAATGTATTCCAACTTAACTGCCATTTTGTCAAAAGGTCACTATTATCGACCAAGTCCAAAGAACTATACGCAATGGAGTTAATAGCAAGTTGCTTCAGCAGCTTCAAATCGCTATCCCTGCTCCCGAACGACATAAAGGCGTAATACCAATCGTAACTCAAACCTTTAGCCCCCCAAAACGATGGATCGTCGCAACAAATAACGACCGGGTAACCATCGGCTACCAAAATAGCTGCGGGGTGGTTGCGCAGGTCATCGACCAGCTTCAAGACTTGGTTGGAGATGGGACTCACTTCAATCGCGATGCGGTTTTTTTTGGCCGCTCTGTATACTTCGGGGTGTTTGAGGATGGCGTAGCCATGACCGATTCTGGTAGTGTTTAGGAGCACCGCATCGATTAAATTCAAGTCTGTTTCGCCCTCCCAGTTTGTTTCGCCAGCGTGGAAGAAAAACTTCGTTTGGTCTTTGATTTCAAGCAGTTGAGGGATGAATTCCGATAGAGGTTTGCCCAGATCCTCCTGCCCGACCAAGTCGAAACCAGCTATAAAGTCAGGGTACAATTTTTGTATGTTTTTGAGGATTTTCAAATAGTTATCTACAGTGCTGTTATCCACATGTCTTGAGGGAGCATATATCAACTTAGCCCCATAAAAACTGGGGTAATCGTGTTTAAAGTGCTCTAATGTTTCCACATATAACCCCACAACCTCTTCAGGTGAGTATATTTTGCCATCCAAATCGTAAACCTCAGGTAGCAACCCCCTCATTTCCATATACATCACATTATCCTCATGCAACTCCTTCAAAACCTGATAAAAATACTCCTGAAAAACTGGCTTGTACCCAATCATGTTCCCCACGTTCCTAAACAGATTTATGAAAGCCCTCCACACAGAATTCAAATCGGGATATTTCACCATGGGATCTGCCACAACCAGAGACAACTTCCCCCTCAAAAATTCCTCAAAATCCTTTCTTTGAGCGCGCATTTTCTTCAGAGATTTCCATTGGCATGAGTTGTCGAGGCTGCTGTTGTCCTTGAAAAATTTGAGGAGGAAGTTTTGACCCCTCTCGCAACCGTAGAGGTTTTCTTTGTGTGTTAGGGATAGAAGGAATTCTTCGGATGCGATGCCAGTGTCATGGGAATGTAGAGATGCCCCTTTTGGTAGTTTTTGAATTAGGTTGAACACTTTTGATTTATCCATTGCTAAAAATTAAATTAAATATGAGTTATATGTTTATAAGTATAGGGATGGGATTTTAGTTATTTTACCTTTTTTCAACAGATGTAACTATTTGAAAACCAATAATGCCAAAATGTGTTTTAAAAGATTTTCTTTTATATGAACCTAACTTGTTTTCACCTTTTTTGGAGGTTTTTGCTCTAAACTACCTTTTTATACTTTTGTTACCTATTTTTTTTAACTTGTTTTCACCTTTTTTACCTTTTTTGGAGGTTTTTTTATACTTTTGTAACATATTTTTTAATTTGTCAGTTTATTTTCACCTATTTGTTACCTATTTTTACGTATTTTTACTTATTTTATTTTTTGTGTTCTTTTTAATTTTTATCCAGGGCGTGCAACCCAAGTGGGATTTTACCCAGGAAGTGTAGAAGTACACGATTTTAGGTAAATTAACACTTTTTAATGCAGTATAAAATGACTTTATCCTCCTATAGTGCTATAGTGTTAAATCATACTTGCTTACTTTGGGAAAATTACACTACAAATTAATTCTTATTGTAGTGTTATAAAACAACACTATTTAGTGTGGACCTGTGTGCTCTAATTAGTGTTGCTTTTTACTGTGTATAGTAATTACACATGTATTTTGACCCACTAAACACGAAAATCACAAAAAAAATTTATGGAAGCGTTTTTGAAATATGAATTTTCAATTTTTCAGAGGTGTTTTGACGTTTTTGAGTACAGCTTGAAATCTAATTGATCAATTTTTTTACGTAACTTTTTTCACCAAAAACATTATATAAAATTTAAATTTGACATGACTCCGCAAACGTAAATTCTTTTGTTTCTCGTGTTGGCATAGTGACATTTTACTGCTATTTTTTGATATTTTAACAGAGTTTTTTTTATCATGGTTTTATTTAGTTAATAAAAAGTGTAAAAAAAGTAAAAGAAGTATCGAGTTCGAGTGCGTAAATAACCCAGACAATCTGGGCGACGTTAGTGATGAGCACGGAGAACGTTTTCACCCTCAAATGAAGGCTATGGAGCGGCGGTACCACGGCTTCTGGGATGCAGTCATAATGGGTAATTACATTTGGTCCCTTATACGAGAAACGGAATACGAAAGCAACAAAAGACTTATTACAACAAAATAAAACTTTCAATACCTATCTTCAAAGTTTAATATTTATTGTTCAATATTCAATATATAATTTAATTTCAATATTTAATGTTTAATATTAAACTTTATATAACTCAATAAAATGAAAAAAACGTAAATATTCTCAAAAAAACTGAATTTTGGTCCAGTATCGAATTAATGAGCCGCTATACTATAAGAGAGCAATTACCTTTGATTTAAGTGCAAATCGATCAATTAGAACTCGAAGTATACTCTAAAACGTCAAAACACCTCAGAAAATTTAAAAAAACAATTGAAAATTCATATCTCGAAAGCGCTTCCATGAAAAAATTTTAAGTGTGATTTTCGCGTTTAGTGAGCCAAACTACACAAGAAAATAATAGTGAGACATGGTGGGAAAAATGGCTGTAAACTAGGGTTATTAATAACAGAGCCGGGCGGTACTTAAGTATAATTACTTAAATATTGTACTTAAAGTACACTTTGAGTATTTTCTACTTGATACTAAGTACTTATTTGAATATGTACCAAACCTGTACTTGTAACATTCTGATAAAGTACTTAGTACTTGGGACTAAAATATAAGTACATTTTTAAAAGTTTATACAAGTTGAGACCTGTCAAAAATGACTAGTAACTACAGTTGAGTCAAGCCACGTCAAGTGGGACCAGAAAATTTCACGAAATCACCGATTTTGAAAATAATCACATTATTATGTAGTAGGCATGACTCATATGTCACAGTAAAAAAATTGTTTTAAAATTCGTTTTTTTGGTAATGTTATTAAGGTTGACAATTTTGTCAAACTTTAGAGCACGGTAAAATTGAAAAAATAGAATCTCTGGGACCACTCTGTATAATTGAATTAAATTTTACACACTATTGTAGAAATGTTTAGACTATATAATGATCATTTAATTAAGGTTAATTTGTTTAAATAAAAGAATTTTGCATACATTTAATATAAACAATTGAAATTTTGTACGCTGAAGAAAAATTAATCTTGTGTCATAATATGCGGCAAACGTTCCCGTTTAATAAAATTTGTCCTTCATATGTCATTCCGGAGATATTACATTGTTTGTCCCGCTGTGCGCTTCGCTGCTAGCTCGTCAGCACACGGTGTGCATGAACGAAGTCACATAAAAATTTCGCAGTGTCTTGTTCGGGACCCTTTGGTGACTTAAAAATAATATTTACCAAAATCCTAGCTGCTCCTCTTTTTGAAATTTTTTGAAAAATCTTTTTTATGCATTATGCTTTTTACTATATAAAAAAGTGATTTTTGTCTAACCCTGTATAAATCCAATGATGTGCTCAGTATAAAAACAGTTTCTCTCGTTTACAATATCGCTGTACAAATGTGTACTCTGGCAAAGGTAGACTTTGCGATAAATAAATAATTTTAAAAAAATTGAATTTTTTACAAATTAAAAAAAAACAGTTAGAATTTTGGTAAATATCTTTTTTAAATCACCAAAGAGTGCCATTCAAAATTGAAAACTACTAAAAAGCCTAAATTAAACAACATTTTAAATACTCTCTAAGCGTTATTTTATTAAATTTTATTACAAATCTATTTTTCTTGTAAAAGGTTAATAATAATGCCATTTTGTAACCTGATAGACGTAGAAATATCTAAATAAAAATTGGGGATAAATATTTTTCGCGTGTTACCATGAATTTACGCTTTTGCATTATTAAAAATAAGTGATTTTTGGCTAACCTTGTATATATCAAATGATGTGAACAGTATTAAAAAGTATTCTCTAAGTCTCCTAAATAATATCCTCCAATTTTATAAAAATCGGTGTGCAAATGTGTACTCTGTCAAAGGTAGACTTAAAGATAAACAAAAAATCATGAATTTTCGAACAATTTCGAAAAGAGGAGCAGCTAGAACTTTGGTAAATATCATTTTTAAGTCACCAAAGGGTCCCGAACAAGAAACTGCAATCAGTTTTTGGCGGCATTTTTATGTGACTTAAACTTCCTTCAGGCACACCGTTAAAACGTTAGAAGTTCTAACTTAGAACGGACGAGCTAGCAACGAAGCGCGCCGCGTACTGATCAAGCGCACAGCGGGACAAAAAATTTAATATCTCCGGAATGACAAATGAAGGACAAATTTTTGAGTAAATTTTATTAAACGGGAATGTTTGCCGCATATTATGACACAAGATTAATTTTTTTTCAGCGTGAAGAACACATACAAAATTTTAATTGTTTATAATAAATTTATGCAAAATTCTTTTATTTAAACAAATTAACCTTAATCAAATGATCATTATATAGTCTAAACATTTCTACAATGGTGTGTAAAATTTAATTCAATTATACAGAGTGGTCCCAGAGATTCAATTTTTTCAATTTTACCGTGCTCTAAAGTTTGACAAAATTGTTAACCTTAATAACATTACCAAAAAAACGAATTTTAAAACAATTTTTTTACTGTGACATATGAGTCATGCCTACTACACAATAATGTGATTATTTTCAAAATCGGTGATTTCGTGAAATTTTCTGGTCCCACTTGACTGGCTTGACTCAGTTCACGGTGTGGTTTAAAAAAGTTAGATGTAAAGTTCGAGAACCCCAATGTTATAAACAGGGAATGATTCTACATCGTTTCAATAAATAATTAATGAAAAAATTAAAATATTTCCCTGAGCGCATTTTTTTTTCGCCTTATTAAATATAAGAACATTATTTAAGAGGTTAGATACACTAACTACGTCAAATTTTTACGTTTTTTTTTTCAAAGACTGGTTTATTTATTTTGATATAAATATTTTGACAGTTATTTTGACTTATTTCAAAAAGTTACGTAATCACAGGCGCCTGTTTCCTCTTGATTTTAGTGTGTCTTGAGACTCTATTAAAATCAAAAGCGAGCTATTTATTAAAATTTAATAATATTTAAAAAATGAAACCAATAAATTTAAGTCATAAGCAACCACTATCACACAGTGGGTGTCGTTTAATTATGTCTATTATGTAAAACGAAGAAGAAAGTTCTTTTCGAAATAACGGATACCTTAGAAAAATTGATACTTTTGATGTAATATATATATTATGTTATATTTAATTCATTTTGGACCTTTTTTGTAATAAAAGATTTTTTTATAAACAATTTTGTGTTTAAACTATAGTTTGATATATACATTATAACTAATTAAAGGTGTCTACCTACTATTGTATTCACATACAGCTTTAAGTAATTTTTCTGCATATTGAGGATGCGATTTTTTACTTTGTATTTATTCCATATTTTATTAAAGTCTGAGTGAGATGATTCCACCGCTTGTTCTGAATAAAACCTTAACCCTTTGTCGTTTTGTTTATAAAAATCTTCTATGTGGAAAAATACTGTGTGAATCTAAGGCGTTCCGTTTATGTCTAAACTCATATAACTTTCTCTAAATATCGCAATCTTTTCAAGATGTCCTTCTTTTAATTTGATTGAGAAACAAAAATCGACAACGTTCTTGAATGATTCGAAATATTTTTTACTTATTTCATACAAGAAAAGTTACTTGTTGAAGAGCAAATTTCACGTAGAATGTCAACATTGTTCAATAATATTTTACTCGAATTTTGACGTCTCAAATAGTATATTATGTATCAAGTTTTATAAACGCCATTTTAGTTATGAGTTTTATTAAGCACGAGCGAAGTGTTTAATAAAAACGAGTGTCTAGACAAGTTTATAAAACGAGTTGCATACTATACTTTATCTACGACGACCACAAAGAAGAATTAAAATCCAATTTTATTTGTTAAACATTTGACATCTGTCAAATGTCAACGGAATTAACCTCACTTTTCTCTAATTTATAATAAAGCTAACTTCAGCCCGTGACTAAAATGCC